CAATCGTAAGAAATTGGGATGCACTTTAACGTTGACGCTGACAAGCCTGTAGGCAGAAGGAAAGCCCCACCTGTTTATCACCTCTTACGTACAAGACCAGCCACGTGGATGACAGGTTAAGCGCTGGCTGCCCCCATCCCCGTGTGTCACAAGGACCCACTTGCACGCAGCCAAAAGACAAAGAAGTAAAGAAAAGGAGGAAACCAGACCTCAACGAGGCAAGAGAAAGAGAAAGGTCAAAGAAAAGACAAAGGAAGAAAGCAAATGACACATCCCGCAGATAAACCAATTGTCACTGTCAGATTGATATATCGCCACATGAATATCAGAGCGCAAAAGCTTTAAAAAAAAAAAAAGAAAACAAGAAAAAAATTAGTTCGTTTTTTTATCTTCTTCCTTACAACTCCCCCTATTCAGAACCTCTTGCGTACAAGGCCGCCCACGTGGATGTAAGTTGTATATATATCGTCACACGTAGGTTATATATACATATATATATCGTCACATATATATCATATATCGTCACAAACAGAGCTGCTCGGTAAAACGTAGGCAGAGAGAGAAAAGAGGACAACAAACGAGGGGCTGTGACAAACTGTTTCGTCGGAGTTTCACCGACTCATCAGGAGGCTGTATATATAGTCACAGCCCCTCGTTTGTTGTCCTCTTCTCTCTCTCTGCCTACGGTTTACCGGGCAGTTCTGTTTGTGACGATATATATATCGTCACATGTATATCGTCACATATATATATATAAGGTTTCAGCCTCCTGACGAGTAGGTAGGTGAAACTCCGACTAAAAAGTTTGTCACACCCCCTCGTTTGCTGTCCTCTTCTCCCTCTCTACCGACGGTTTACCGGGCAGTTTCTGTTAGACGATTTTTAAATATTTTTTCAAACCTGCAATGACTCATACATAGAAGGAAGATAGCAAAAAAAAAAAAGGAAAAAAAGGAAGATAGTGAGATATTGTGGAACGATGATGAAAACTCTACTCGTCGGATAATATTTAAATAATACATTAAGAAATATATTCGCTGTATATTGACATATATATCGTCAAACAGAGCTGCCCGGTAAACTGTGGGCAGAGAGGGAGAAGAGGACAACAAACGAGGGGTTGTGACAAACTGTTTCGTCGGAGTTTCACCGACTCATCAGGATATTGACTGTATCATTTACAGGCATTTCATTTATATTTGAAAATTATTTAATTTACTATAATATGTATTATGTTTCATATTTCGTATTTTGCTTTGAGGTGTGTTTCCGGAATGACACGCGTCAGATCTGCTGCCATCGCAGGAGAGATCTATTTCTTTTTTTTTCCTTCTTTTTTTTTCATTTTTAAAGCGAAAAAAAAGGAGTGTGCCAGGAAGTGATTGTTGATTTGCATTGGCCTTCAGATGCTTTTCTTTCCGTCAGATGTTCCGACTTGCACGGATTAAGGGTCTCACCACACGGCACACGAAATGAAAATTAAGCGATTGAATTTGCCCAGCGCAGGGGGCCAGATGCATTCGTTATTATCCATAGTAACGGATGAATCTTTTTCGTTTCCGTGGGAATAGGCACTCTTTTTTTTTCCCCATTTCGTCCCTTCTCCAACCTCTTCAGCCTTCGCGCCTAGTTGTACTACTCGCCATCCGATAACATTTTTATTGCATCTGAAACCCTTCTTCGTCCAGATTCATTCAAGATGTTGGCACATTTTAGCGAGTAGTGCAACTTTCTCCTCCCGTGGGGACGCCTCTAACATATATTGTACGTCCATCTCTTTTTGGCTAAGATGCACTGCAACAGAGAATGTATCTTGTTACCTTTTGTGGGTAGATGCACTTGTTTTATATCGTTTGCCCCGAATGTATCATGCCACGAAACGGAAATAGATCCAAATACTCTCAGGATATGCATCGCTTTTTCCTTTTTTTTTTTGTTGTTTTAGAAAGACATAACCATGTCCAAGACCGTCGACCATTCGAGCGCGATAGCATAACCGAGAGAATTAACATATTAATTAATTAATTGATAATAGGGAATTCATCCATTACTTATTCAATAATTAATTGATTAGTAATTAAATTTTATTATTCATTAATTCATTCAGACCATTCACATACCATCAGTCCAGTTTTCAATCCGCGTCTAAGAGGGCGCGTTAGCATAAACAACATTCATTAGAACCAAAAAAGAAAAAAGAAAAAAAAAGAGCTATGCTCCGCGAGTCGCTGTTTTGGCATATTTCGACCCCGAGGAGATGAACGTGGCCCAACAAGCGTCTACGATCATAACACAAACAGACAAGACAGAGGGTTTTAATTTTAATTTAGAAAAAGGACAGGAGAGAAGATAAGATGCTAAGCGATAGGAAATGAATGCACTCACACTGATGATTCGGATCTGATTCAACGGCTCTGACGAGAGCACCTGCAGTACTCAACAAGAGAACGACGAAGAGACACGTGGCCTTCCAAGCGACCCCCGCCATTTCTCCCCTCCCCTACTGATCTGAAGCCCACTTCCGTACCGCCTACTAGTCGCAGGCCACTTCCCTCGCCCAGTGAGTTCCTGCTTACTCCTTCTCCTCCTCCTCCTCTCTCTCTCTCTCTCTCTCTCTCTCTCTCTCTCTCTCTCTCTCTCTCTCGTGTGTGAGAATAGTGAGGGAAAGAAAAAAGCAAAGAAAAAAACAACGAAGAAAGGGTCGGGTGAGGCTYGCAACTTCCCCCCAAGCCTAATGGCTATTCCCTCGCCGTAGGACGCCCTTTCATTCAAATCAATAAATACATCAATCAATGAATCCGTCCATCAATATTGACCAATCAATCAATACCAGTCAATCAAGCAAGCAAACAAATACCACTCAAACAAACAATCAATAATACTAAAACAAAAAAAAAAGAAAAA